AAAGTATACATTAGTGCCTGAACTATCTAAAGCTAGCTACCTTTCTCAGTCCTAATGATTAAATCCTTCTGTTTATATGACAGCTATAAGAATAACAAGTCTGGTTCTTTACAGAATCCCCCATGACTTGTTAAATCAGGATTGAAAATGTCACTTTTGCTTATGATAAATGTCAGTGAAAATTTATGGAACATTGTAAGAAATTTTAAATCTTCCATATGCAAACATAAAAACAACACAAAGCATACAAATGTCAGAAGAAGCACTTAGCAGGAAGGGAGGGAGATTTTATTTTATTATTATTCAAAAACAATACATGTGTAGGTTGATGTATTTCTAACTTCTATGCATAAATAGTTCTTGTGGGAAAGAAAATCAATTCTATATCTCCCATTTAGCTACATTGTGGAAGCAATAGAGACATTGAAATTTCTACTGTATGTAAAAATGTGAAATATTTAAGTTTTAGTTTTATTTAATATTTATTTAAGTGATTTAAATAGCCAGCTCTGTTATCAAGGTGACCTCAAAGGCATACAAGATTGAAAGCAATAGTCTAACATCACTCCAAAAATCATTTTTAAAAAGTGTATATTGTATCATACACTTGGGATCAAAGAGCCATATCATTACAAAGCACTCACATGAGTTCATGGGTTCTTGGCCCAGTTGCCTGTGGGAACATTCAGATCTTTAAACCTTATGAAAGACCCAGCAAGTCAGGGTCATCTGGATCTCTGGGAGAATGCTCCTCCACAGGGCAGTGAAACAACAGAGAAGGCATGACTCCTAGGCCTCCCAAGATTATTTTATCTGATAGGACATAGACCAGGGGTAGGTAGGCAAACTTGGCTCTTTTATGACTCGTGGACTTCAACTCCCAGAATTCCTGAGCCAGCCATGCTGAGGGGAAAGGGAGAGGTTTCCAAGCTGAGCCATGCTGGCTCAGGAATTCTGGGAGTTGAAGTCCACGAGTCATAAAAGAGCCAAGATTGCCTACCCCTGACATAGACCATTCCAATTCTGCTAGTTTTGGCAGCAGAGACAAGTAGGCCTGCAAATAACCTGGCCCTGCACCAAACAGGCCTCTCTGAGCAATAACCAACAGCTTGAATTGCATCTAGAAGGCCACTGGGATCCAGAGCAGAGGTGTTACATGGGTGCATTGTGAAATACTCAGAATTGCCTGTGCTTTTGAATTCTGGACCAGCTGCAGCTACAAAAGCTCTTCAAGGGCACACTCCATATAAAGCACATTATAATAGTTCAAATAGGAGAATGATCTAGAAATTGGCACACGTTAAGCCTGTGAAACAGGTTATGGTTAGGGTTGCAAAGCATTGTAGTATAAGTCAAGGGTCCCCAACCCCTGGGCCATGGACCAATACCAGTCCACGGCATGCCAGCAACTGATCCGCACAAACAAGCAAAGCCCCATCAGTGAGATACAGGCAGCACACAAAACCACGCACCCTCCGGTCTGTGGAAAAACCTCTCTCCATAGAACCGGTCCCTAGTGCCGAAAAGGTTGGGGACCTCTGGTATAAGTAAACAAGGCATAGAGAATTGTTTTATCCACAGTGTAGTTTTTTTCTGGCCTATCGCACCACCTACCAATGCTTTTTAGCCATTGTTTATGGTGGTCTTTTTCAGTCAGAGACTGCTTATTCCTTATTTTCAGACTCTGAGGGTCACGAGAGGAGGAAGAAGCATGGCAATAAATAGGATGTCATCAAAGGAGGTACAGTGGACATCTTCCGCTTTATTTTTAAGAATTTGGGAGTTTAGAGAAAATAGGTACCTTGAAATCCAAGACCCTTGGTGGAGTTATTTCATTGGTTAAATTTTTTTATCATCAAATATTCCCACTGAAGATCATCATTTTGCCTCTGAATTTTTACAATGTCTGAAAGGTTCTAGAAGCTGCAAAAATGGATTTAGCCTATTGTAAGATTCTACCAGTGTTTCTCAACCTTGACCATTTTAAGGCATGTGGACTTCAACTCCCAGAATTCCACAGCCAGCATTGCTGGCTGTGGAATTCTGGGAGTTGAAGTCCACATGCCTTAAAATGGTTAAGGTTGAGAAACACTGTTCTAGACAATTGTGGATTATTCAATGAAATAGTTCTTTACAATGAAAGTAACCAAAATTGTGACTTAATGTGTAGTGTAATTAAATGACACCAGTCAGTGGTATTTCGATTTTACGGATTTTAATTATTTGAACTATCTTTCCTCCTCTTGCAGAAAGAACAATTGTAGTTCTATGAGTAAAGTCTAGCAATAATTAAAAGAACCCTCAGCACTTCTGTAACCTACAGCTTCAGCTATTTTTAAAGATATTTACTGTGTTTAAGGCAGTATAAATCCAACCCGTTCTTCTAGAGTAGATAACAAAAATCCCAGATAAGAATACCTGCCAGGTTATATTTTGAACCTCAGACAATTGTGAGTTTTGATACAATTCAATAAGCACAGTATTGACTGCCTATTCTTGCAGTTGTGTAGGAAGTAATAGATAAGAATTAATCCAGCCATTATCATCCACTTGGAAGCAGGAAGGCAGATTTACTGCAGATTAAGAGTTTTAGAAACTTCCAAGAAAGTAATTTCAGCATGAAATTTTCATGACCCCCCCCCCCATTCTATTCTTGTAATATACATTCACTGTGTCCTTGCTTGCACTGAAAAGTTGTTTTATAAAAAGTTCCAAAGCGCTCAAAAAAAATCTTATAGAAATCATTAAAAAATTATTTCAAAATGTATTTTAACGTCACGGTTTCAAGTGTCTTTGCTTGCAGGATTTCCATTAAATATTTATTCTTTTTATTAAATGAAACCTCTTACATAATTAGGAAGTATGCTTGCCACATTTCAAGACAGTTTTTAATTAAGCACTTCTTAAAATGTCAGTAGTTGAACAATAGCCTACACAAAATATTTAAGCCTTAAAGATTTAAGCTTTATCTGGTACAATAAAAAAGATTTTGGAAACTCAAATCATAGGAAATGAAGCAAAAGATGGTCAAAAAAGGGAAAATTTATTTTAAAAAACCATGTCCAAGAGTAGATAAAAAAATCAACAATTAAAAACATGTATCATACAAACTCTCCACAGATCAATAAAGTGTCCATCTAGATTTACATTGAACATTAACAATACAAACTAAAATTGGTAAAGGAATAATACAGCATGATACAATAAATTAACAAAAACCACAGTTTTGTAGATGTCCTGTCTTTCAAAGTTCACTCTCAGTTGCATTTGAGTTAGATTCAACAGTATACTCAGAATTCAGGTACAAAAAAGATTAAGAAATCAGTCATAAGAGAATTTGTATGCAGAGCTGGATGATTTTTCTGAGCAAATTGGCCTTCTGGACTACCATAAAGAAAATAAAATTATGCATTTTTTTAAAAAAAAATGCTTCATTTAGTTCATAAAGCTTGTTTGCTGCACCAATCTTAGGCCAAAGCAATCTATGTACTGTACATCAAATATAAAAACATTAAAAACATAAAATAACATAAAAACCATAAATACATAAAACTCGCCAGTTTCTATTAGCTTTATATATGGTGAGTTGGTTTGTTAAAAGGAAAAACAGGTATCAGCCATGATTTTAAGCAAAAACTAACGGTAATAGTAATTATATTGGAACAAAAATTCTGTATTAAAAACCTGTTCTTCGAAGTATAAATTCATAGTAAAAAAAATGAAAAGTATAATATGTAACAAAAGTGAAATGGAATTTACAGATTTCCATTACGACGCCATACAGTTCTCATGCCTCTTCCATAGTTTCCACTCTTCAAATTAAAGATACTGTCAATATTTATTAAATTATTATCTAATGCCATTTGCACCACTACTTAAACTACTTAAAATCTAACTAACCAGAAACTACACTGGTTTACAAAATTCCATGTGTAATCAGAGTTGATTTCTTTTTTCACCAAAAGTCACTTACACATTTTTTCCCCCAAACTAATGTTACTGTATGGTGTTTGCTCCATTGTAAGCCATTCTAGACCGTCAGCTGGTGGAAAGTCTCTCAGGTAGAACAGTAATCACAACATGCAAAATCCATCAGTTCAGGCATTATTTTCTTGGTAACAGTCCAAATGTTGCTGAATTACCGTGTTTCCCCGAAAGTTTGGGCTCTGAAGTAAGGACTAGGTTTTACCTTTGGGGAGGGCTTACTTTTTGCCGGTACCGGTACCAGTAGGCCTCAAGCACGCGGGGGTGAGGTGGGGCCTGTGCATGGAGTGGAGAAGCAACGCAGCGGCAAGAGCATGGTGGCGGACCAGTTGTCTTCCTCCGCCTGCCAGAGACCTGCCAAAGCCGTGCAGGATAAGGTTGCCATGTGGGGGGGTGGAGTTGCTTCCCTCTGCCTGCTGAAGTTGCGCAGAGTAAGGTTGCTGCCCCCGCCCAGATGCCCTCCTCCCCCAAGCGTGTTTTTACTAATCTGCCTTTCAGCTGCATTGCATTTCTCCATTCGCTTCTAAGCCTTCGCCACGTTTGTGGGACTACCGGTAAAAAAAAAAGGGCCATTTGCTACCCAAAAAAAAGGGCCATTTGCTACCTCCTGCCAATGCCACTGCCATGAGGCCGCGGAACAAGCCAGGTGGCAGTAAGGAACCAGTATAATGGCATGTGGGGAAGAAGTGGGGAAGATCTACCAGGCCTCATGGCAGCGGCACTGGGCACGTCAGAGGCAGCAAACGGCTTCGTCGTGCTAAAACTGGCGGTTTGCCGCCTCGCTCGTTGCGCCCAGTGCCGGGCAGCGGTAAGCAACTGGGATACTAGTACTGTGGGTCAGATCCCCCCTCCATCGGCTTCGCCTCATCACAGAGGTAGACTATCCATGCAAGCCCTTAAGTAGGGCTTACTTTTGGGGGGAGGGCATATATTAGGCCCACCCCCCAAAAAATCAGCTGGGGCTTACTTTCGGGGGCAGGTTTACTTTTGGGGAAACACGGTAGTCCACACTCTCAGAACTTCCCAGCTCTAATTCACATCTTCTTCATCTTCTTTTTGCTGCGTTGGTTGAAGACTGGTGAAGAGCTCATCAAACTATCAGGGGAATGAGAACCATAACTGCTTTCAGAACCATTTGGGCTCTGTGGCATCCCAGCTTCACTCATGCCTGACATTGGCTCTTCAAACACATCACCACCTAAGACTCCATGGTGTCCATGGACATTGCTTTCCTCATTCTCTTGTGGTTCCATTTTTACTGGGGCCAAGTTCCAAAGAGGAGAAGTGTTCACCTCACCACCTGGCACAGGGAGAGAGAGGGAGAGAGAGAGAAAGAGTGAAAAGGATTGAGGGAAGGAGGAAGGAAAGGTTTTCTCATCCATCAGTAAAAGATGCAAAACTGTAACTTCTCACAAATATGAGAGCTGGGAGAGAAAAAACTGCAATCAATGAACTGGTTAAATACGGTAACTAAAAAACACATTAAAAACAGAAAAGAATCATGCAAGTACTATTAATGTTTTCAGCATCTATTTTGCAGTAAGAAAATATTTTAATTTATTTAATGAATTCTGAACAGAGAGTAAATCCAGAGTATGATTAACTCATCAGGAAGCAATGGACTAGGTTAAATATTAATACTACCGAAGATGAGGAAATAAAATAAGATACCCCAGAACCCACTTAGGACTTAATGGTCCTAAAACACATGTACATTTTGTATCATTTTAATATACTAAATGAATGTATCTAAATAATGCAGTGCAGAGGATTACTTGCAACCATAAGCAAGGACCATCTAATGAAAACAAAGATCAAGAAAAAAAGAACTCCTACATGTTTAATAATTGTTTATCTACTATTGGATAATTACATTTAATTTAGTGCCAACATATTAACATCAAACAAAGAGTGATATACTCCCAAATGATCTAGGAATACTTGGCTGCACCATTTCCCTCAGAGTATATTTTTAAGGCATTGTAGAAAACACAGTGACAACTTTAGCAACCACACAGCTAGATTCTCTCCATGAAAATCTGTTCCTAATCTATTCCAAACTCAGACACTTACAGCTGTAAAGGTTTAGATCAGCAGTCCCCAACATTTCCAGCTTGGCCGCCAGGCCCGACATGGGGTGGTGGTGGTGAGTGACAGGCGCATGTGAGTGCAGCTCCATTTATGCAAGCATCGCACGCACACACCCCTCTCGTGCAAATGAAGCTTTGTGGGCAAGGGGAGGGTGGTTGTGCTTGTGAACAAAGCTCCACTCACATGAGCGGCAGGCACTTGCGCTCATGCACAAAGCTCCTCTCATGCATGTGAAGGGCGCTTGTACTCATGCGTCAAGATCCACTTGCACGAGTGGAGTGTGCTTGTGTGCCAAACTCCATTTGTGCAAATGGAGCTTCACGCACTGGTGCAAGCGCTCTCCACTCACACAAGTGGAGCTTCACGTGCAAGGACAAGCATCTTTAGCTTACGTGAGTGGACTTTCACAAGCGCAAGTTTGTCCATTTCTCTCATGACCCCATTTCGAACAGGCCATGGCCCAGTAGCGAGCCATGGCCCAGGGGTTGGGGACCCCTGGTTTAGACATCCCTGCTTAAATTAAAATTTTCAATGCATCTCTAAGGAAACAGAAGATGACATCATTTCTGCATCATACAGTATGGAACATAATGTATTTCTGCATATTTGCATGCGTGCTTGAATGCATATATGAATGTATGTATGAGTGTACTTGCTTAGACTGAAAATACAAATATTTATGACCATTTTTCACACTTACAATCACTGCAGCATTCCCATGGTCATATGATCAAAATTTGGGCATTTGGTAACTGGTATGTATTTATGACAATTGGGTCTCCTGGGATCATGTGATCACCTTTTGCAACCTTTTCATAAGCAAAGTCAATTGGAAAGCCAGTAACAACCATGTTACTAACTTAACAGCAGTCATTCCCTTAACGCAGACATGTCATACACAAGGCCCGGGGGCCAGATGTGGCCTGCAAAGTGGTTTCATGTGGCCCGCGAAGCCATCCTGGCCCAGGACGGCCGGGAGCCAATGTACAATTTTGTGGTGGCCATCTATGCTGAAACGCATTCAGTCTTAGCTCCACAAGGCCGTCTGAAAACAGCGAGGAACCAGCCCCTGCCGCGTCGGCCCCACCCCCTGGGTGCATGCTGGGGAGGTGTCACCCTTTGTGAGAAATGAAGAAATGCACCATTGCCTGGAAGTGGCCAGCAAATGGCCCTCACCTATTTCACATATCCGGCTTGATGGGCTCTGGGGGAGGGGTTTCGGCAGGCAGCAGGGCGCTCTCCTCACAGCGCCGAGAGGCTGAGCCGGGCGGCGCAAATCCCAAAAGAAATGCGAGGCCGCCCAGCTCCCAGCCTGCCCGGTTTCAGCAGGCAGCGGGGCGCTCTCCTCACAGCACCTAGAGCTGAGCCGGGTGGCGCGAATCTGATGAGAAGTGCAATACTGCCTAGCCCCCAGCCTGCCCAGTTTCAGCAGGCAGCAAGGTGCAAAGCTGGCGAGCTTCGCACCGCCTGGCTCAACCTTTCGGCGCTGTGAGGAAAGCGCCCCGCTGCCTGCCGAAACCGGGCAGGCTGGGGGCTAGGTGGCATCACGCTTCTTTTCAGATTTGCACCGCCTGGCTCAGCCTCTCGGCGCTGTCAGGAGAGTGCCTCGCTGCCTGCCGAAACCTGGCAGGCTGGGGGATGGACGGCATTGCGCAGGTAACGTTAACTCTCACGCTGCTCATGGCATCCCCTCCCCCAGAGCGCACCAAGCCAGATATGTGAAGTAGATAAGGGCCATGTGCTGGCCACTTCCAGGCGATGGTGCATTTCTTCATTCCTCACGAAGGGTGACACCTCCCCAGCTGCGTTTCTTGCCTGTTTTTCTCCCTCCCTCATCTCAAATATTTTCCCATCACTCTCTACTTAGGAAGGAAGGAAGGAAGGAAGGAAGGAAGGAAGGAAGGAAGGGAGGGAGGGAGGGAGGGAGGGAGGGAGGAAGGAAGGAAGGAAGGATCTGAAGGAAGTCCTTCCTTAGTTCTGCCCTGCTGCCCTTTCACCATCCCCTTGCCCCCTCTCCTGGCCTATCTTGGGGGTCTCCCATCCTATTGCTAAGGAAGCTTTGTATACAAAGCCGGGTCTCCTCCCATGGAGAGGGAATGGGCCTCCCTCTGACTTTGCCCTCGTACCCATCATGAGCAACCTGGCTAAGGAGAGCAAGCACAGCAGCAGCAGTCTTGAGGAGGAGGTAAGTGCAGCTGGGCACCCTCTTAGGGAAGTGGAGCTGGGCTTGGTGCCGCGGGTGCTCGAGGGCCAGGCTGTATTTGACCTCTGCTGTCCAGGGCTCCCGGCTGCCCGCACCACCATCAAGCCCCCCCTGCATGGCCTGAGAGGAACAGTGAGGCTTCTCTAGTGGACCATGCCTTGGCATTTGCCCTGGTCCCACCCCCTTCTGGCAGAGACCCTCAGATCTGTTCCACTCCTGCCCAGGTCTCCACAGGCACCTTTGATGTAGAGCTGGCCACGCCCACCCAGTAGGCCACACCCACTCCATCCACGCCCACTCCGTAGGCCACACCCACCCTGGCCACACACCCCCGCCCCCCGAGGGCAACCGCAATGCTGATGCGGCCCTCAATGAAATTGAGTTTGACACCCCTGCCTTAACGGTTATGGCAAGAAAGGTCTTAAAGTAAGGTGAAACTCATTTAACAACTGTCTTCTTAGGAACAGAAATTTTTTGGGCTCAATTGTGGTCATAAGTTGAGGACTATCTGTAAATCATATTACAGCTTAGTTTCTGTGTTAAGGCAGCCTAAGCAGTTATTTTAAAGTGTGTTGTTTATAAGTACAAGAAATGGACAGATGGCAAGTATTCTGAGCCAGCAAGCATTAAAACGCAAATCACAACTCCTTAGGGCTTAAAAAAATTATAAAGACGTAGCATTTGTTAACATCCAATTTCCAAGCTAACTTTATCTAACACTAGAAATTTAATTCAGCTAGAAGCGAATTTAACATTTTAAGGGCCAGTTCACAAAACACATCATTAGCAATTTCCTTCAGTCGAGCTGTAGGGTTGTTTTTCTTAGCTGTTTTAATTAGAAAAGTGATTATTGACTTTGTCCTCTAACCTTGCCTTTACCCTCCAATTTATTTATTGTAAAGTTTCGAATTATCTGTTCGATCGCACTGTTTACTATTTTGACGATATGACTATAGGGTCATAGAGTTAAGATGGTCGTGGTGTTATATCCGTGTTGGAAGTCGATCTTGACCCTTGGGTCTCCATAGTTTCAGGGTTTTACATGGTTTTACGGGTAACTGTGTAAAAAAATTATATTATGTTTTGTATTGCAATTTCAATTTTACTTAAAAAATTAAAAGTTGAAATGCTACAGAGCAAAGCACTAGCTTCTATTATATTTATTTTTAAAAATGCATCTAGGCTTCATATTGGACCCATGAACATTCATAAAAGATAAAATTAAGCAGTGCCTGCAGCCTAGACCTTTGAAGTGTCACCATTTGTTCATGCAAAGTGCAAAAATAAGCAAGAATAGGATGATCCGGCTAGATCAGACATGTCAAACTCATGACGTTGCACAACATATCAGGAGAGTTTTGCCATTGCTGGCAATGGGGTGGGCACGGCTTCCGCATGACGCATCCGGACCGCGGGCCAGCAGTTTGACACCCCTGGGCTAGATGGCCAAGTAGAGATGGTGAGAGCAAGCACAAGACCACTGATACTTTATAACTAGTGATGTTACAATAGCAGCCATTTTGTGAAATCACCCAAAAAACCTCAGGCTTTGAATTCGGATATCATTATAATAGCTGACCCCAATTTAAACAAATAAAGTATATTTTCATAATAAAAATCAACCCTATTCCCATATACTAGAAATACCTATCCATAAAGAAACAGAGTTGTCAGGCCTTCTCCACTGTAGCCCACCCTTCCTCTGGAATAGCATCTTCTTTGATATTAAACTGGCACAATCCTGTTGTGGTTTAAGAAATCTATTGAGACTTGGCTGTTTCATAAGGCCTTTGAGAATGATGACTGAGCCCATCCTATGGTAAAAGGTATTCTGTTTTGTATAGAATTGTAGATTTTTATTCGTTGATACGATATGACAGGTGAGGAATTTCTCCCATTGTGTTTATTATTTTCCTCTTTTTACTATAAATTAGGAGCATTAGAATTAGTTGTGATTGATGCAAGATATAAGCCTGAGAAAAATAAATAAAAATATGTACCAGAAGTTTGCGGAGAGGCCTCAGTTTCCAAGTTGGATGAAAAGCGTTCACTCTGAGCTCCAAGGACTCCAACAGGCAATGACTGGTCTCCAGATGCAAGATCCCCCTCCAGCTCCTCACTCATAGGAAATGTGATGTCACTAACAGGTTCTTCCTTGATTTTCACAGGTTTCAAATCTTCCGCTGCCTTCTCAGGGTTTACAAGCTTTTCATATTCCTCAGAGAGTTGCTTGCTAACCTGTTGATAAGTCATGAAATAAGAAAGAACAGGCTGACTGTAATCAATTGTTAGACGCATAAAGATACAACACAGTTCCTCTATGACAAATTCACCCTTATGAAGATGTCTTTTTCATGACCAAGCCTCCAACTTTTTTTGTGTCTGACTTGCTTGGATCTTATAAACTAGAGAAGCAGAGGTTTTGTTCACATAGCACACTAAGCCACAACATTGCTTTTTTCTCTGGGGTACATATATTCATGGGAACTTAGACCTTGTGATTTATATGCCATGGTTCATGATCAGCCAATTCCAGTTTATCAATCTTTGGTTAAGGAAACCAGGTTTAGCACAGTGTACAAACCAGATCATTGGCTTATGAACTGCACAAATGATAGGTGTGATACATATTTCACCTTTCACAAAATTCACTGTCAGAACAAAGTACATAAGATGGATAGTTGTTTTTCAAATGTATTTTTCCCCCAAAAGTAACTGAATACAGCCCCAATAGCTTACCTCACCAAAAATATTTTTATTCCACTGAATTATAGTTATAATTATAGTATAGTTTACTTTTTTAAAACTTTCCAATTCCAATGAAGATAACAAAATTTCAGCTTTGCTTTTCCAACGATGTCACCATGCCATTGCCCTACTATCGCCAGCCTTTGAAGGCCAAACAATTCATATTTAAAAGTGCATCTCCTGGCTTTGAAAAGATTGCCTAATTTGGCTGACTTGATTGTCAAGCATTGGAAAGCATTACTACTGATTCTTGTTGTAGCTGAATCATTACCTAATCAAGTCAAAATTGGATGTGCATAACATAATCTTCAGGAATAGAAAACTTTTAATGTCTGCTCTGAGAACTGCTGTCAGAAGTGGTAAAATGAGTACATGATTCTACACTTTCTTCAAAGGCTGTTTCCAGACAACAGCCTGGGGGACATATGCTCAGCCCCATGTCATTTAACTGCAGAACAACACGGAAATCCGTATTTCATGTTCATCAATATCTACATCAGTGGTTCTCAACCTGTGGGTCGGGACCCCATTTGGGGTCGATCGACCATTTCACGGGGGTCGCCAACCAAGGCTGTCCGCCATTTTTTTGTCCGCCATTTTTTCCCCCTTTTCCGGCGGGTGCCTTACCTCCCTTGGGCTGGGCCAGCTGGTGGTCGGCCTGCTCCGTCTCTGCCACTTGCCAGCTACACCTCGGCCGGTGCAGGGGGCGGAACCATGTATGCGCGGCACTCCCGGGCAGGGAAAGTCCTCGACTTACGACCGGTTGGGTAGTCCTCGACTTACGACCGGTTAAGTCCTCGACTTACGGCCACAAATCAGGAGCTGAATGCTGGCCAACCCCAGCGCCGTAATTTTTCCAACTCTTGGTGACTAGATGTACTTCGGTGAACTCCTTCTACGTGACACCCTCGTTCCCCTGTCATCATGTGTTTCAGAGAAAGGTAAGGTAGATATCACCTACTCCGTGAAATCTGTGGATTTGTCAAATACATCCCCTTAATTGTCTCGGTAATAATATTCACATGAACGAGATGAGGTATTATTGCTGGGATATTCAAAGAAGTTTACTATAAGTATTATGAGCAGCAGTTCATTTGTCTTTCCTCACCTGTAGCATATAGCTATGATAGTCTTTAATTCGATGTTGCCAAAACCTCTGCAGAGAGAGCACACTGCCAATGCCCACTTCATGGAAGACTTGTTCCATAACATCTGGGAAAGGGGTCTGTCCAAGCCGAGCTTCTCTGTCCACAGCACAACGCAGAAGTTTGGCGAACTTCAAGCAGTATTCATGGGCAATGTCTGTCAGAGTCTCCAGAACACTTTCATGGGCACATTCAAAGCCAGTGTGAGCTAAAATGGTAGCTATAGACTGATAAAGAAGCTGGCGGCAAGAGGTCCAACTCAACTCTATTACTGGCTCTCCTTTGCCTCTACAATCAGATAATGCACAAGAACAATTAAAATGGAAGACAGAAGTCATGCTAAGGTGTTCAGAACAAATATTTGAAGCTTGTATAACCTCCTAGTTAACTTGGAATACCTAGCTTGAAACACAAAAAAATACGCCTGGATTGTAGCGTGCTCAGTCTGATTTCATAATTAATTTTTTTGAAGTTAAAAATATACAATAAAAAGAACGCTATTGCAAAAAAAATCAGTTACCAGTGTTTACTTTAAAGTATCATATATAACTTTTTAGACTTTAACTCAAGGCAACATATGCATATTAATTACTAAATATGAATTATCTGTGCTGTAAAAGAGTCAATATAGCTAAAATTAAATACTGAATATTTGTAGTATTTAATCCACATTTTTCTAGAGCTAATTGATTTTAGAAATTTGAAATCAAATTATGTTGAACATTTAACTCTATCCTAAAGATTTAGAGATGGCAGCTTTAAAATCAGGCTTCAAATTAGGCTGAGCCTGGAAGCTGTAATGTACACACATTAAAAAAAAATCCCTGAAGGATTATTATCTGAAAAAAATGTTTCATACAATAATCCTTATAATTGAACAATAATTGAGCTTTTTTATTTTTAAAAACAAATTTACTTCTTCAATATGTCAAAACTATTAGATTAAGATTCCCCAAAACCAACATTTGTAATAATAACTACAGAACCTTATAATGAATCTCCATTCTACTAAAGACTAAGATCTTTTAGTTTTCACAAATCATATTCTGGAAAAAAAATCAGCTTCTGTTTAACCTTAACTATAGATCAAGCAAACAGTAAGAAAAACTTCAGTACTGTGAAGTATAAATATTTTATATTTATAAAATTTTTGACAATCTATAATATATAGACAACTGACAGATCTAATTTTCCTGTTCAGATCTCCAAAACTTGATTAACAAAACTACAATATGGAAATTATAATATTAAAATATAAAGTTGCAACATAAATCCATCAAGCTCAATATAGCATAGATCTGCCTTCCCTAGCTTAGTGCCTCCTATAGGTATTGGATAGAGCAGACATGTCAAACACAAGGCCCGGGGGCCGGATGCGGCCCACGAAGTGGTTTCATGTGGCCCGTGAAGCCATCCTGGAAACAGTGAGGGAACGGCCCCGCTGCCTTGGCCCTGGCCCAGGCCGGCCAGGAGGGAGCCAATGTACAATTTTGTGGTGGCCATCTATGCTGAAACACATTCAGTCTTAGCTCCACAAGGCCGTCTGGAAACAGTGAGGAACCAGCCCCAGCCACGTCGGCCCCGCCCCCTGGGTGCATACTGGGGAGGTGTCACCCTTTGTGAAGAATGAAGAAATGCACCATCGCCTGGAAGTGGCCAGCAAATGGCCCTGGCCTACTTCACATATCTGGCTTGATGGGCTCTGGGGGAGGGGTTTCAGCAGGCAGCGGGGTGTTCTCCTCACAGTGCCAAGAGGCTGAGCCGGGTGGCACGAATCTGATGAGAAGTGCAATACTGCCTAGCCCCCAGCCTGCCCAGTTTCAGCAGGCAGCAAGGTGCAAAGCTAGTGAGCTTCGCACTGCCCAGCTCAACCTCTCGGCACTGTGAGGAGAGCGCCCCGCTGCCTGCCAAGACCAGGCAGGCTGGGGGCTGGGCAGCATCACACTTCTTTTCGGATTCACGCTGCCTGGCTCAGCCTCTCGGCACTATGAGGAGAGCGCCTCACTACCTGCCGAAACCAGGCAGGCTAGGGGCTGGGTGGCATTGTGCAGGTGACGTTGACTCTCACGCTGCTCATGGCATCCCTTCCCCCAGAGCCCACCAAGCCAGATATGTGAAGTAGGTGAGGGCCATGTGCTGGCCACTTCCAGGCGATGGTGCATTTCTTCATTCCTCACGAAGGGTGACACCTCCCCAGCTGCGTTTCTTACCTGTTTTTCTCCCTCCCTCATCTCAAATATTTTCCCACCACTCTGTAATTAGTCAGGAAGGAAGGAAAGAAGGAAAGAAGGAAAGGAGAGGGAGGGTCTGAGGAAAGTCCTGCCTTTGTCCTCCCCTGCTGCCCTTTCACCATCCCCTTGCTCCCTCCTCCTGGCCTATCCTGGGGTTTCCCATCATATTGCTAAGGAAGCTTTGTATACAAAGCCGGGTCTCCTCCCATGGAGAGGGAATGGGCCTCCCTCTGATTTTGCCCTCGTACCCATCATGAGCAACCAGGCTAAGGAGAGCAAGCACAGCAGCAGCAGCCTTGAGGAGGAGGTAAGTGCAGTTGGGTGCCCCCTTGGGGAAGTGGGGCTGGGCTTGGTGCCGCGGGTGCTCGAGGGCCAGGCTGGGCATTTGACCTCTACTGCCCAGGGCTCCCGGCAGCCCGCACCACCATCCAGCCCCCCCACATGGCCTGGGAGAAACAGTGAGGCTCCTCCAGTGGACCATGCCTTGGCATTTGTCCTGGTCCCACCCCCTTCTGCCAGAGACCCTCAGATCTGTCCCACTCCTGCCCAGGCCCCCACAGGCACCATTGACGTGAACGATGCAGAGCTGGCCACGCCCACCCAGTAGGCCACACCCACTCCATCCACGCCCACCCAGTAGGCCACACCCACCCGGGCCACACCCACCCGGGCCCCCTGAGGGCAACCGCAATGCTGATGCGGCCCTCAATGAAATTGAGTTTGACACCCCTGGGCTAGAGCTTCCTTCTCCCTTGGTTAGCATCCTCCAACACATCTGGAAGGTATCAGATTCAAGCAAATTGAGGACTATCTCTGAGATTTAAATGAGAGGGTTTTTTTGCAATCATACAAAGACTGCACTTGAGGCCTTTTCTGTGCAACTCATGTTCTATCAAGTTGGTATTTGTCATGCTGCAGACAGCTCTCAATAGCAGAATATTATCATGTCCCTTTTCTTTTCTGGCGGAGAGAGATTATATACTTATATACTTATCAGATTATATCTGATAAGCTAAATAAACCAAACATGGCTTATTATTAGTGCTATTTCAGACATTACAACATGGGTCATTTTTTTTTGTTTTGTTTTAATCACTATCCATTAAACATTCTCAAAGGAAGTGATATGAAACTCTATCACATAGCAACTTTAAGTAGCCAATCCCAGTTGTCTACTTCCCATTTAATCAATGCACAACGATGAAGGAATTTGGACTGATTTGACAGGTGCAGAAAAAACTGAGGTCCATTCAAATAAAACCATAGGCTGAACCTATTGGCCTCTCCAAAGATAAATGAGAGTTTAAAAACAGGTTCAGGAAAGCAAAGATGGCTTTCTTACAATTGCTTCCATTTTATAAAACATCACACTTCCTGGGTTCTATTTTCGAGTCACTGAAGTGTAACAAAAATCTATTTCCTGATACAAAATTCCTTCCAGATAAAACAAAGAATGATGCTAGTAAAGTATATTGCGTAGCATCCAGTATTCAAAAATAGAAAAGCTTGTTCTCTACCTTTTCTGATTTTGATCTAGCAGTACCAATTCCTTTCCTAATTACCTTTTCCTTTTTCTTTGAAACAGAAATTTGAAGCAGGTGCCACCCTTAAATATTGCCATCAGTGACAGCCAAGCATTTTTCTCTGGTTCCAATACTGTATTCTGAGACTCTAGCAGTCTCAGAATACATAAACAATTTGCTGTGCTGGTTCAAAAAAATAAGAGGCAGCAGTTCACTGGCAGATTGCTACTGAATATGGGGTAGAGAAACACAACACAAGATGTGATTAATCCATTGCACCCTAAGACCCTAGGACATTAAACAGAAATAGGATTCTGGGCAGCGATTTGAAATCACTGCCATGCTTAGTTCTTGATATTCCATATGATAAAGGCTAGTTATTTCTGAATGACCGCCAAAGATTAAAGTTAATCGTATAAAAGGTAAAAATGGTCTTTTCGGGTGATTACAAAAATGGACTATATCCATACAGCAAAAGCCCCCACACTTATAATGCCCAAATAGGCCAATTCTATATTTTTGCAGATTTACTTAAGGGACTAAAATCCAGCAGGGGATCATTTCACAAGAAAAGATTTGTTTAAAATTAAGCTAATGGAAATAGAAGAGGAAATGGTACTGAGCACAGTGGAATGTAAACTTCAGATTAGTACAGCGTAATCCAGTGGTCACTATACCAAAGCTACCACAACTTACCTGTAAAAGTCACTTTCTGGATCACTGTGCCTCAACTGGAATGGCATCTTGGGTGTTTTACTATCCAAAGTAAGCAAGTCATCAGGGAGGGGTGGGGACCCAGGACAAGTTGGCAAAGGCTCACTTCCTTCCATCTTGATACCCTCCAGTTGCTGTTGGTTCTGAGTCTGAGCCGTGGCAATAAGACTGCGCAACCTCCTATTATGCTGGATTAGCTGGACAGTATGATTGGTGAGGCTACAGGGCTCTGAAGGAAGATCGAGTATGGTTGCGGGCTTAGGCTTGTTAGCTGAAGGTTGATGCAATGGAGGATCCTGGACCTCTACAGTACGGAACTCCCGCTGAAGCAAGTCAAAAGAGCTGCGGTTGGTCTGACTGGAGGAAACAGGGATCTCACCCCAGTAGCGGAGCATCTTACTGGTTGACCAAACAGAATATATTCAGGTAATAGTTCAGATAACAAAGTAATCGTCCTATGAAGAAAATTGATTCTGTAGTATCCTTGCGAAGTTAATTATTTGATTTGGCAAACTATGGAGAGCAGGTAATCTAAAAATGTACTATTGAGTTCTCATTGCAGCTGAAGAGTTCATGAAGTAATACGGTCTATATAAATTAGCTCAGCAACATCTGCTTTAAGCAGTGACTTTCTTAATGTCTCTGGAGGAAAAACAAGAAATTGGCAAAAAAAAGTTATGGCTTCTGTCTCACAAAAGATCCATGAGTTAATATCAAAGCTAGAGACAAAACAAAGTAACTGTTGTCTTTTATATTTTTGAAAGAACTATAGCCATAGGGTTTTTTGTCTGAATAATCTTTAGTGCAAAAGATAAAGAAACATCTCACTACTGTGTTTAGCGAGGAAGGGAGGGAAATTTTGTTTCTTGATGTTATTGTTGTTAAAGATGACTTCAAGATGACTTTCTAATCCAAAAGAGGTGATAAAAATATAAACACAGAAAAAAAAGTTATATGTCATAACACATTAGTCCACTCTGTCAATCCCAAAATTGCCAGCCTAACTAAAACTAACCCTGGAAATTGCTCCCTATGTCCATCTTATAAATGCAGGCATGTGGCATATATGCATGTACGTATACTTGAAAGAAGTCACACTCCCAAATTATACAATGTAATTAATTATACAAATTACATTAATTGCTGATTAAAATTAATGGTTCATAAAATATCTTCTTTATACAATTAATTCATTCATCATTGGATATACCAACTACTTTTTTTCAAATAGAAAATCCACTCTTATGCAGACATACATGCAGATAACACACACACACACAAACACAATCTCCCTCCTTGCAGCAAAAACAGCAACAAAAAAGAAAAGAAACAGATGGAAACTAGGCAAGGTTAGGACAAGGAGAAAAACTAATTTAGCAGAGAAGTAAAGAAGAGAGAGAAGTTTTATTCAGATGTTACAAAAAAGTGACATTCATTAGGCAAACAACGCCTTCCAAGCAACAACTAATCTTCAATGTTACCCCACTTTTTAACAAACATTCCAACAGAAATTTGTCCCTTTGGCATTCATACAATATATTCTATTCTTAGAAAATGGAAGAAGAGACTCCGAGATTGCATAATATACCCATGCACATAACAGCAGGGAGTGGAAAGATCAGAGGAAAAGATCTTGTGAAATCTTAAATGGAATGAAGATGCTATGTGGAATAATTACACATTTAGATGATAGGAAAATGATTTTCCACATATCATTACTTTGAAGGAGGTGGGTATCTTCTTACTTTCTCTAAGAAAATTAACAAAACTAAATATAAAGTTGTTTTTAATCTCATTCTTCATACTGCTCACTGGAAATTAAAGTTGAAATATTTCGGACACATAATATGAAGGCAAGAATCACTGGTGAAAACCCCGACAGAAAACCAAGTAGCTATATACTACCGTATAACTAATTATAAAAGCAAGAGCTTACAAGAATGTAAAGAAGGAGCTACTGATATCTTAATCCCAAAGATTCACAAGTAATTGAACTACTGAACAATGTTATTAACAGATTTTAGATCCCAAGCCATAAATTATTTATTCATAATTTCCTAACAGTGTTAATGTTTAATTTGAAACATGTTTTATTACTTTTATTATACTAAACTTCATATCACCATTATGAATTAGATTGTATTTCCCCCAATTAGTAAACGTTAAATCTAAAATTGTACATCTTGTTTTAAAAGCATGAAATCTGACACAAATATAGTGACTTCTAAAAGCAAAAGAACAACATTATTATGAATGTTAACAAATGATAAATACAAAATATTCTATGAACACAGAAAAAATCGTTCCCAAACAGCATACTTTGCATGTTCTTTATGGAGGCAGAAAATATTTCTAAGAGAACTAAATCTTGTAGATTAGATTTGAAAGGAAAGTTGGATGTCAACAGCAACCAAAGCAAATAAGCTCAGAAATAGCACCTATCAGATGTTTAAAGAGACATGAATCGGTGCCTTTTTTCCCCATAACTATTATGCAACTACTAGTAGCTTGTAGTCTCTATTCAGAGCTTCTTGCTGCAGAGTCATCTTCAACTTTTGTAGGATAAAGGAATAACAGTGAAAGAAAGTGAATCTTGTATAGCAGTCCTTATTTTCCTTCTTTTTATGCAAATCATTTATTTATTTTTATTTGTATCCTACCTTTATTATTTTTACAAATAAGGTAGCAAACATATTCAACATACCTTCCTCTTACTATTTTCCCCACAACATCATCCCTGTGAGGTGTGTTGGGCTGAGTGAATGATTGGCCCAATGTCACCGAGCTAGCTTTCACACCAAAGTCGGAACTAGAACTCATGATCTTCTGATTTCTAGCCTGGTGCCTTAACTACTAGACCAAACTGGCTCCCTTTAGGATTTATAATTTATAATCCTAAGGAAGCTAGAGAAATTTCAAAAAGCCAAGCAGAAGCCTTTGTTTGTCCTGAAGCACTATTCTTAATTGCAACGAACAGGATACAATTCTGAGGAATGAATTATAAGCTTCATAATGAGGAAAACAGAACATATCTAGCTTTCTAGCTTAGGTTTATTCATGAAGTAAATATATATTTTTAAAGCTCTATATGGGGATAGGACTTTAGCTGGTGCCAACCAAGGAAATGCTGCCACATAACATAAATATTAATTGTTCAGGTAGTAATAGAAGGTACTGTTATAACATACTATTTCTGTACTATTGCCAAGAAAATTACACGGATATCTCCATGAAGCTACTAGCTAAATTGGAAATAGACTTGATTTTTTAATACAGACCTACATAAAAAGCATGCAAGTTTATTTTGAACTTATTCACATTGTCATTTATATTAGATCAGCAAGAGCAGGTAGACTTTGACTTACAACCATAATTGGGATCAGAATTTCTGTTGCTAAGCATTAAGTTGTGCCCAATTTTACAATCTTTTTTGCCATGGTTGTTAAGCAAGTCCCTGCAGTTATTAAGTGTTGGAAGCTGGCTGGGAAGATCACAAATGGTGATCACATGACACCAGGATGCTGCAACCATCATAAATACATGCCAGCTACCAAGCACCCAAATATTGATCACATGACCAAACGGATGCTATAAAGACGTAAATGTAAGGCTCAGTAATCATTTTTTTCCAGTATCATTGTAACTTTGAACAATTGCTAAATGAATGGTGGTAAGTCAAGGACTACCTGTAATATAAATCTATTTCCAGCAAGTAAAGAAGTGGTGCTTATGATATATAGTCAAATCATTATTCTGTTCATTTTTATTACATGAAATCTATATTCATTAAATGTTTTTATATTTTATGTTTTTATACTTTTAACTGTACACCATCCAGAGTCACTCTGAAAGTGAGATGGGCAGTACCTAAATTTGATAAATAAAATGTGTTCACACTCACATAAATTGACGACAGACTTTGAACTTATGCTCCCTCATATAGGTTCCATGTCCTGTAAATAGGCAAAACAACTTATGAGCGGTGGAAATATTTTGTTGTTGTTGTTCACATTTATGACTGGATTCTAAGTATATAATTTTTTAACCTTGATTAACTCTCCACACATTGTAGACTAAAGGATTTATATTCTAGACAGCTCTAGCTCTTAAAAGTTTTCTAAGATCCATTACCAAAGCAATGAAAAGAAAAATGGAGGAATACAGAAATAACCCAGGCATCTTCCCAATTGGCATAGTCTAAGAGAGGGAGGTGGTAAACCAAAAACAAAACTGCAAGTTTCTGTTACTGTAGCCAAATTTAATAAAAGTAGTTTTAGTCTCAATATGAATTTCTCAGTCTGATCTTAGATCAAGATCAAGTTGATCTTGGTCTGATTTTAGGGCTGACATGCTACAGAGTGACTAAAATGCTGTCCACACTCCTCTGGCGGTAAAGGCCACGGAACACCATAGGACTGAATATATATGGTCAACTTTATAGTGCAGAAATACAGTTTTGTCTACAAACGTTCTTCAACCTGATATCCTCTAGTTACAGTGTTTCTCAACCTTGACAATTTTAAGGCATGTGGACTTCAACTCCCAGAATTCCACAGCCAGCAATGCTGGCTGTGGAATTCTGGGAGTTGAAGTCCACATGCCTTAAAATTGTCAAGGTTGAGAAACACTGCGAGTAGCCATCGTTTCTGTAAATGTGAATATCCGCACACATCCGACGTGCGCATCAGATTGGAGAAAAGTTGGTGCACAGGACTTAATCCCGAAAAGAAAGAAGCCCGCACAGCTGTTCCACATCCGAATGCTGCCCGGATTCTTTATGAGGAACCACATAAAGTGGGTTGCATCCATTGAATGAGATTGTATAGGTTTGAGTTTTCAACCCGTGCCTCTGGCATCAACTTAATCGTAGCAACAACGGGTCCCCGCGCGGCCTTACCGTGCCAAACACTTTCAGTACCGCAATGCTCGACGAAACCGAATTCAGGAAGATCCCAACCTCAGGAATGCCTCAAGGCTAACTTAGGGATACTTCTTTGGAAATACCAAATAGAGCCCAGCGTTTGGCCCTAAATTACGGGCGCATCTTCTTCTTCTTTTTTTCCTTTCCGCTCGCCCGCTTCACTCCGCAGCAGCCTGAAAGGAGCACACCCCCCTACAGGAAAGGCCGCTTCTCCCGGAACCGAAGAGCCAGCCAAGCAGTTTCCTGGGGGACCCGTTGGAGAAGCGGACGTGCTAAGATGGCGGCTCCCACAGAAGAGGGTAATGTGGCGGAAGACTTTAAGAAGCCGATTTTGCCCCCTCCGTTGCCTCTTTCTCTCGCTCGAGGAAAGGCAGCCGAGGGGGCGGCTCCTAAGCGCCCCCACGGCCCTGCGGTAGGCCCCTCTCCCCCTGTCCTTCCCGAGTATCAGGAGCCGCCGTGGGGAGGTTGCCCCTCAGAAGAGGACTCATCCGGCTACAGCCTGGAGACGGTAAAAGGCGGCGCGGTCCTAGACCGCATCAGCCTCGTCGGCCAGAGCCGGATCCTAGTAGGCCGCGCGCCGGACTGCGACCTCTCCTTGGTTCACCCGTGCGTGTCGCGGCACCACGCCGTGCTTCAGCGCCGGCCGCCACGGAGCTCCGCTGAAGGGGAAAAGCCCCTGGCTTCGGAGAGCCCCGAACCCGGCCTGTATGTCTACGACCTGGACAGCGCCCACGGCACCTTCCTCAACAAAGCGAGGGTCCCTCCCCGCACCTACTGTCGCGTCCGAGTGGGTTACGTCTTGCGTTTCGGGGGCAGTAGCCGCCTCTTCATCTTGCAGGTGAGCGAGTGGCCGAGGGAGCAGCCTGCCCAGCCTCTAGGCAAGAGAGCCCGTGTCCGGGTGACTCAAGTATCGCTCCTTATTATTAAAGGAAAAAATTATGTATCCCGTGGAAATGTTGCCCAGAATTTGATAGCTGTCTCGTAAGTTTATCCCCGTAAGCTAGTCTTTAGTTCTAGAGGCAGTTCAGAGGCACAATATTTTTTAAATATATGCTTTGCCGTTTTTGTTTATAGGAGTTATATTATTATTATTTTCCACGTTTATTTTGCCTTTATGATGTATGACTTCCAAAGGTAATAAGGTACTTGGAAGTTGATTCTATCCATGCCTGATACTGGAATGTATTATAGAGGGGGTTGTTTTTGCTTTGTTTAGTTTTGGTGTCTTCAAGTCAGTGTTGACTCCTGCCAACTACCGGGACAAGCTCCTGCTTTTCTTGGCAAAATATTTTGGTTTGCCAATGCCTGATTCCTAAGGCTGAGAGAGAATGATAGGGCCAAGTCACCCAATTGGCTTTGTGCTTAAGGGACAAGAATTCTTCTGCTTTCTAGACTGGTGCTTTCTTCACTATACCAGATTGGCTTTTTATAGTACTCTGAGACAAATAGGAAGAACAATATTTCACAGCAAAATAAGAAATACCAGTGATTGTGTAATGTTGTGGGCTGTTGTACATAAGTACAGTTTATTATATACAATACAGTATATACTACAGTATATATAGTACATTATAGTATATTATAATAGATTTTATATATTGAGGGGTTGTATTGAACATGAGAAAGGGCTAGACAGATTTTTTTATTATTACATATTTTTAAAGCAAATAGAAACATGGAAAACCGATGGTAGAAAAAGACCTAGTGGTCCATCGAGTCTGCCCTTTGAGTTTCTTTTTTATTTCTTTTTAATTTATTAGTTTATTATTTTCAATTATTTTATATTTTATTTATGTTTTTATTTTTTATTTTGGGGGAGATCTGAGTCTTTTACTATTATACATAAATACATAATTGAAACAATACAAAATCCTCTTGTGAACAATGTCAAAAAGCAGACAGAAAATATGGAAAGATTACATTTTTAATGTTAGAATAAATATGCTGATTGAATATGCTATTTGCACATTACAAAGCTCCTTTGATAGCTTTCATTATTCTCATTTGCAACTTGCATCAGACTTTTTCCAGTACTAAATCACACTTGTCTTCACTGTCTTCAGAAAATGTCTGATAGCTTTAAGCATCAATGCTGGTAATTAGAATAAGATGCTGATTTTTCTATGATGTGAATGTTATCCTGCACAGTATTATTTTTGCAGTATCTATGAAACTTGGGTTATACTCACTGAAAAGTAAGATGCAATTAATTGAATGGGATTAATTCTTGGCGAATAGTTTTTAAATTCATAATTTTAATCCCCAGGGCCCAGAGGAGGATCAAGAGCCGGAATCAGAACTGACTGTAACACAGCTGAAAGATCTGCGTAAGCAGAAACTGGCCAAGTTAGAAAAAACTATGCTGGGTGATGATTCTGATGAGGATCAAAAAGAAATGGAAATTAAAAAAAGTGAAAATAGTCGGAATGATTTAAGCTGTTCCTGGGGAATGGGTAAGAATTTGTTGCCAGAATCTCCAATGATATGTTTTCATGGAGCTTATTTTGCAATGATTTGCTATGTCACTTTGCAGATGCAATTTGCTTTTGACTTGAATCCTATTTACTACTTTCCTCAGCCATATTCTGTTTCAAGTTCTTTTATAAATTCTTTGTATGAAATGTGATTGGAATGATCTAATATAACTTGTGTTTACCAGTAATGTGCTAAGAGAAAATGTCTAGATATATGCATTATATTTAGTTCTAGGGAAATGGATCCAGGTATGTATGAGCAAGTGCTTTATATTCAGAGAATCCACATTTATACCTCTGATTGGTTGTCATCTTTATATTTCACAATACTCTAAATCAGAAGCAAAATGTGGGGTTTTTTAAAATTAAAATTAAATCTATTTAATGTTAAAAATTCCCAAAATCATATCAGATGTAAATTGAGCATAGCATAGATTGTATGCAGTCAAATAGTTTCTTTATCAATCCTTTTACAAGTAGTCCTCAACTTACAACCACAATTGAGCCCAAAATTTATGTTGAGAAATTTGTTAAGTGAGTTTTGCCCCATTTTACAACTTTTCTTGCCACATTTGTTAAGTGAATCATTGCAGTTGTTAAATTAGTAACACATTGTTAAGTGAATCCAGTTTCCCCATTGACTTTGCTTGTCATGTGGTCGCAAAAGGGAATCACATGATCCTGGACCTCTGCAACCATCATAAAAGTAAGTCAGTTGTCAAGCATCTGAATGTAAACCATGTGACCATGTGGATGCTACAACGGTCATAAGTGTGAAAAATGGTCATAAGACACTTTTTTCCGTGACATTGCAACTTTGAATGGTTACTAAACGAACTGTTTTAAGTCGAGAACTACCTGTAATGGATTTTACTGAATGATCTGTAGGAACCATGCTAAGAAGAAAGTGATCCATTTGAGAAAGATAAATTTGCTTATTATTTCAGGCTTGATATATAAGCTAAAGAAATATAAGATACCATCTTATCTCCCAAACATAAATTATTATTGAGAATGGAATGGAATGGAATGGAATGGAATGGAATAGAATAGAATAGAATAGAATAGAATAGAATAGAATAGAACAACAGAATTCAACTCTATTAACCAAGTGTGATTGGACACACAAGGATTTTATATCTGGCGCATAAGCTCTCAGTGTACATACAAGAAACATGATAAATCATGATCATAATCATAAAATACACTCATCATAAATCATAAGATAAAACACTCAGTTGTAGTCATAGGATACTAAATAAGCAATCAACATAAATCATACTCAGATACTAAATAAAACAATTTAAATCATAAGATACAAGCAACAGAATTATAGTCATAAGAAGATAAGGAAATAGGTAATAGGAAAGATGATAAGGATAATAATAATACTAGCCCTACAAGGTAGTTTGACAGTGTTGTGGAATTAGTTGTTTAGCAGAGTGATGGCATGGGGAAAAAACTGTCCTTGTGTCAAGTTATTTTGGCGTGCAATGCCCTATAGTGTCGTTTTGAGGGAAGAAGTTGAAACCATTTATGTCTAGGATGTGAGGGGTCTGTAGATATTTTCACAGCCCTCCTTCTGGTTCATGTAATATACAGATCCTCAAAGGAAGGCAGGCTGGTAACAGGGTTTTTTTCTGCAGTTCTAACTATCCGTTGAAGTCTGTGTCGGTCTTGTTTGGTTGCAGTGCCAAACCAGACAGTTATAGAGGTGCAAATGACAGATTCAATAATTCCTTTGTAGAACTGTATCAGAGCTTCTTGGATAGTCTGAACTTTCTGAATTAATCTACTGAATATTCATGCATTTTTCCTAAAATAGATTTACTTTGATAAATTCATTATATTCAGATTTTTAATTTATAAATTCATTTGACTGAATTTATTTGAAATGCTTTTCTAAAACTTTACTGTGTCAGATAATTGAGTCATTTGTCCTTGAAGTAATTTTCTTTTCTAGAGATGATGGATCATTCAGTTTGTAATGGCAAAATTTGGGGGAATCTGAAACGGATCATGTCTGTCCATTAAATTCAGTACAGGAGTGAAAAGGAGTTTTTATAACTCATAATAAAAATACTGCTTTTTTATGTTCTTCTGGAGATTTATTACAGTGCTAAAAAGTACTGTAGGAGCAAAATAACAAAATAACCAGTAATGTACTAAGAGAAAAGGTTCCTTATAAACATCTCATTAATTAACTAAAGGAAAGAAGAGACTAGGAATAAATGATGATCTCACAGTGGAGAAATTTCAACAGTGAGATCATTCAAGCCCTTGTAATAGAATTAGTACTTTTTAATTATAAAAATAGGTTATATTTGAAGTCAGTGGTGAAATGCACAGATATCAGTAAATAATTTAGATGGCTAGAGCAAGGAGGAGGAGATACAAAGCAATCTCTCCAAATTAATAGAACTGAAGTTGGGCAATAAAGTGGCAAATGTGATTCTGTGAATGCAAACAGTGAAGCAAAAACTCCTAATAGATGATAACCCATAACAAAATGTTCTCAGGATTATGAAAGACAGTTGGATGAAAATATTACTTTTCCCATAGTTGGAAAAAAGCAATGCATAATAAATCAGAATCTGTGTAAGGAATTATTAAGAAAGTGATCTATAACAAAATTGTCAATGTTATAATGCAGTCAGTCTCTGATGCTGGTAATATTGCACAAAAATAGTAGTAGGCAACACATTAAAAAGAAAACCTTTTAGAATGAAACCTTTTAGAATGAAAACCTTTTAGATGCTGAAAATAAATGTTACAACTTTCAGCCCATGAAAAATAATCAAGTAATATGATTCACACATGGTCCAAGGAAAGTTAACCTGGAAAAAGGTTTTCTTCCCCTTTCTTGTCCTAGAACACAATATCCTTAAATGAAACTTTTTTCATTTGGAAATAAAAATATTGGAAATGGGAACAAAAATACTACTTTACAACACACATTTAACATTTGGAATTTGTTTCTGGAAAGTACGACTGATATCAAAATGGAACTAGATAAATGTATGAAATGAAAGGTTGCAGTGGTTACTAATCATGGCTATAATTTCTCCTGTATTGAAAACAATATGTTTCTAAAAAATTCTGAAGAGCATGAAGACAAGTGTAATCTACAATGTGTCTCAATTTCGATTTCTCATAAGCATCTGACTGGCAACTCTGAGAATAGAATGCTAGTCATGCTAAGTTAGGTCAAAGTTTTATGTTCTTGTCTTATGAATCATCTCTGATGCCCAATTCTACCTGATTTATTTTTCAGGGGAAGATGCAAAAGAAGAAGAGGGTGAAGAAAATCCAATTGCTATTGAGTTTCAAGAGGATCAAGAAGCCTTTTATATGAAAGATCCCAAAAAAGCATTGCAAGGTTTTTTTGATAGAGAAGGTACTAGCCAAAAATATCCAGTGCATTTGTTTCTTTCTAGTGTTCCAAAGAATGACTTATTTCTGTCATTTTGACTTTGCCTGTTTAATTTACAGCATATTAAAGAATCGTTTTATGCCAGTAAAACATAAAAACTATGAAACCAGTAGCATATGTTGAATCTCTACATTCAAGTAGAATTATAGAGTTGAAAAGGCTTTACAAGTCATCTGATCCAGCCCCATTGCTTAGTGCAGTGGTTCTCAACCTGTGGGTCGGGACCCCATTTGGGGTCGATCGACCATTTCACGGGGGTCGCCAAGCAAGGCTGTCCGCCATTTTTTTTTGTCCGCCATTTTTTCCCCCTTTTCCGGTGGGTGCCTTACCTCCCTTGGGCTGGGCCAGCTGGTGGTCGGCCTGCTCCGTCTCTGCCACTTGCCAGCTACGCCTCGGCCAGCGCAGGGGGAGGAACCATGCATGCGCAGCGCTCCCGGGCAGGGAAAGTCCTCGACTTACGACCGGTTGGGTAGTCCTTGACTTACGACTGGTTTAGTCCTCGACTTACGACCGGTTTAGTCCTCGACTTACGACCGGTTGGGGTCGCGGCATTAAAAAGGTTGAGAACCACTGGCTTAGTGCAAGATCTGCTAAAGCATTTCAGACAGATCACTATTCAGCCTTTATAGCAGGGGTGTCAAACTGCCAGCCCACACACAGGCCGGATGCATCATAGCAAAACCGCACCCACCCCATTGCCGGCAATGGAAAAAAGTCGTGATACGTCATGACATGTCATGTCACATGAGTTTGACACCCCTGCTTTATAGGAAGCCTGCCTGCCTGCCTGCCTCCCATGAAGGAAAATATAATGCTGCTGAGTTTTTAAGTTCTCAAATTGTTGAGGTTTTTTTAACTAACCTGAAAAACAAGCTAACTGTTTTCAGTAGTTAATAGTGGAGTTAAACAACAGCTTGGCCACATCTACACACACTTGCTGTTATTAACAAACTCTTTTTAGAAGGAATTATTATAAAATGTATTGGAGTTGTCTAATTAGGACATTTAATAGTAATCAAGTTTGTGGTTTTCAAGAAATGATGCAGCTGATTGTATGAAGGTATATAACCATCTAAGAACAAAGATGAATTAAGGAACACTCTTTTTGTTAAAGAACATGGAGCTCCACAAGGCTGCATTTCACTTACTAAAAACATCTCATTAGTACTATGGTAGATCAGGTTTTCAGTCATTTGCCAAATAATGTCACATCCAGCACTACTTGATACAGATATCTGTGTAGACCAAATTAGTAAAGTGGAGACTTCAGGTATCATCTGCATATTGGTTGATGCTGAAGACCTAATGAGCAAGTGAGGAGAATAAAAAGAAATTGCTTGCATAGTGTTGAATGTAGCTTTTACTATTAATTGGTAAATGGATCCAAATTAAACATAGCAATTCTCAGATGAAATTTTATGCAGAGCTAGTAGCATTTAACAACCAGATAACTACTTAAAGATTTCAAATGTTTAACGTTTCAGTCATTTTGGAAGTGCCAGAATGGTTTAATGTATTTAATTAAACTAACAAGTTTACAAAAGTAATAAAATATTGATTAATATAGATATAAAAAGCTGTCTTTTAAAACCAATAGTTTGATTCCCTTTTCCCTTTTTTATCTAGGTGAAGAATTGGAATATGAATTTGATTCCCATGGAACAGGCACCTGGCTTTGTAGGGTGAAGTATGTATGTATATTATGCAACAATTTTGTGTATATTCATTCAATTCTAGATATGGATTGATAATTGAAAATTATTTTGGGGCAGGTGTGAGTGTTGGTAGGTTTTTTGTTTTGTATTATTTTCTGGCTGGTTCTGGTTAGTTGATTGGGTTTCTGCATTTATTTTGTCTATTTTTTGTTTTCATTTGTCTATTATACCTATGCCAGAGAGGTTTTTACTAATATATCTGAAATGGAAAAATAATTTGAAATAACTAAATACCTTGCTTTTAAAATAACAAATATTTTGCTTAAGGCAATTTTAAAATGTTTGATTTAAAAAACAAAAAAGAGGAATTGACTGAATTGTTGATTTTGCTTTATACTTTCATCCCACTAAATTGGATAGGCTGCCTATAGATGATGCCTCAGGGAAACAGCTTGTGGCAGAAGCTATTCATTCAGGGAAGAAAAAAGAAACAATGATCCAGTGTGCATTGGAAGCCTGCAGAATATTGGATGCTAGGGGTGTGTTGCGACAAGAGGCAGGTAAGTTATGCCGCCAGATTTTTTTCTCAGCAGAAATCTTCATGAAGCAGTCTTGTTATCATGAAAGTTTGTAAATTTATGCTTATCCTACTTGCAGTATGGCTAAATGTAGTTTACTGTGGAGTCCTTGGTACTCTTAGGGCTTCATTATTTTCTTGCAGACATATCATCATTCTGAGTTTAGTTTACTGTTTAAAAGATTTTTTTAACCTCACTATTTGACAAGGAGCTCTAAACAAGAGTTCATCGAAAAATAAGCCTTCTATATCAATAACTTCAATTTAAATATGGATATTTTAATAAATGAAATAGGAAAATAATCCTTGACTCATCTCTTTTGTTACCTGTACAATATTTTACTTCTTCATATAATCACCACATTTGCCAGCAAAAGACAAGAATCTTAAAGCTTTGTTTCTTCAGTGAGGTCCTGGCAGTTATTCGTCTCTTGGGTGACTTATATTAATATAGTCATTGCCATAAACACATGTTCTGTGGTGAATTTCAGTTGGAAGGATTCCTTCAGCAGTCAGAAATGCACATACACAAGTACTAATGCAAGCTTCCATTTCATAAACATTAGCAACACAACTTTTCTCATACCAACTTGCAGCCCACTGAAGTGAAAGAACAGATGTCAACAAAATGTTAGAACGTGGTTTCCTAAACTGAGGTGTATGTCCCTTGAGAATTTATAGACAGAATTCAGGGAAAGTGTGAAGAACTTTTTAGTTCTACATGGTTACAACCACCTTACCCAAAGTTTCATTGTATCATTTTCATTGTTCATTTCTGTACATTTTGTTGTTTGGTTATTTAGGCGAGGTATATACATTAAGTTTACACTAAAAGGAGGTGTAATGATAAAAAGTTCAGGAACCACTGTATTAGAGCTTCAAGTATATCAGCATTACCATCTTTTGGCAACTTACAACATTAGAGTCATTCAATCCTCATAATATATTGCTTATATTTGTTATTTTCATTGTAAATAAGTGATCTTATATGACATGCTTTTTTAAAAAAAATGTGTGAAATAATATGATAAAATAGATTATTGGCCTCCATTTGTTTGCATTTTGTTTCTTTTGTCAATATTTTACTTGCAAATTTATGTGTGGATTATTTGTAAACCATCCAGAGTCATATAGGTGAGCTAGGCATTGTAGAAATTTGATAATTAAATAAAAATATAAATTCTTTTCTCTTAGTTTCCCGGAAAAGAAAAGCAAAGAATTGGGAAGAAGAAGACTACTACGATAGTGATGATGACATATTCCTTGATCGGACAGGAGTTATTGAACAGAAACGACTCAACAGAATGAAGAAAGCTGGAAAGATAGATGAAAAGCCAGAAACATATGATTCATTGGTAAAAGCAAATTAAGCAAGTGATTCATTCGGCTTTGTTAGCCTTGCTGTTAGAAAAAAAAATGATAGTATAAAATTATTTAAGCATCATTCATGCCTAGGGTTGCAGCTATATTAGGTGATTTTTTTTCTTAAGAAAAGTTATATAACTTAAAATACTTTGAATATATGGTTACAAAAATTATGGTTACAAATATATGGTTACAAAAATTATTTTATTCAAATAGCATTCATGCCTCAAGGTATTTTGACATGCTACAGAATTAAGACATCTAACACTAAACCATAATGTCAAGAAAGCAGAGAGACAAAAGCAGAATTACTAATTAACAAAATTACTAAAAAAATGTCCTTGTTTCATGGTGCCTTAATAGATGCATAGATTTGCCTTGTAACAGAGCAAAACGCTCTCGTCACTATTGAAAATAATACGATAGCATCATAGATACATTTTTTCTGTCTTCTGTATTTATAAAAGATATTTTCATACAGCTTATTCTGCATATCTCAAAATGATTTACAGTAACTATAAAAATGTATAGTAAAAACAAGAGAAAACAGGACACCAGAGTAAAAAATGAATATAGATAGTAAAAAGAAGAAACGTATGGGAAGAGAGATTTAACTCTGGGGAAGAACAACATAAAAATTAGTTTTGAAAACAAAGATAAAACAAATCAGCATTGAGCTCTGACCTACCATGGATATCTTATCTGTTTACAGATTGCAAAACTACATGCAGGTGAGAGAGAGCTCTCTGAGATAGCAGAGAAGCTGAAGTCTTCAAGGACAAGTAAGACTATAAGATTATTATAAAACTAATAAAATTGAAAACATATTGTATATATGAGTGCAGGCTGTCTTGCACAGATTCCTAAAAATTTAAAAATGGAGTAAAAACTAAATGAGACTAACAATATGGATCACGGAAAGTATTATTTTTATGTTGTAAGCTGCCCAGAGTCACTTTGAAATGAGATGGGTGGCAAATGCATTTCTAAATAAATAAATAAAATTATTTTGAACTCATTCCTTCATTAATATTTTATGCATCGTGCAGAGTCAATTTGTAGAATACGATTGATTAACGTACAAACGTTGAAAGAATTTTTTATTGCCACCAACTTGTAATAGTATAAAGTGTATTTTCATAGATTTAACTGACTCAGCAGTGACTAGAGAAAAAAGATAATTAACCAGATAAAAAAGATCATTGATTTTATCATGTCATATTTTTGGTCTCTGGGGCCTTTTCTAAAGTCTCACAAGGTAGAGGGAGATCTGTTCCATATGTCGAGCGTTTCGATAAAGAAAGCATGTGGTATGGATCTCACAAGGTGAGATTGTTTAATTAATGGGACATGGAGCATGCCATCCATATCAGATAAATAGAGCTAGAGTGTAGAGAGTAAGGAAGATGACCTTCATAGATATATGCCGGAACCATTATCTAGGGAAAAGGGCTGAGATACTTTCTAAGTCTAGAATATCAGATAACATTTGTAAGTGACTCAGACTGACACTTTCCTAATTGACTGAAGTCAATAAGAAGGATGAGGAGGTACAACACATAATTATTTGCACTGCCATGCAATGTTCAAAGGCAGCCCCAGAATACTCAAGTTTTACATTCCTTCTGTCTGAGCATAACCCCATCCAGAACGAATGATGTTAGATTTTCCAGAGCAAATAGCCTCCATATCTACACTCATTCACTCTTACTTGGGTTGAGCTGAAGGCTGTTTGTCCCTATCCAGACTCCCTCAGCCTGTAGATGCTATGACAGAATCCTGACCTGTTGCTATATATTAAATAATATATGTTTTCAATGAAAATTGCAATTCCTGAATCAGGGCAAATATTCTCTTATTTTCTGAGAGGAAGGTTCTCTTACTGGTATGAGAATTCTTGGATTTTTATAACACTTTTTAAAAATTTCAATAGGATAGTATATAAAAGGCAATGCAGTTCAAAATATATCAACATTATTTAAGTTAATAATATTGTTTGCTTTTATTTTATATATAACTATATATACATATTTTTCCAGATTCAAATTATATTTTAAAATGCATATTAGAAATAGGATTACGGTATATTTCTTTTGAAAGAAAACAGTCCTGTGACAGTGAGATTGAGAGATCCATTCTTGGGAATTAGTCTTAAATATGACTGAGTTTTTGTGTGAATTAAAATGGAGCTATATCTAGCCATTATCTTAGCATGTTTTGGGAAGTATAAACCATAAGATGCTTATTTGCATTAGATTTAAAGTTTAACATGTACTGTGACTTTACAAAGCCTAAAGTTTTGTTTTTACATAGGACAGGTTGATTTTAGAATTCCCTTTGTTTAAAAAATAGTAATATGATTAAATAAATCAATATTATTTTAATCTTTAAATGGGAAGGAGAAGGGAGAATATTGCCACAAAAACTGTTATAAGAATAATTGGATACAAAAATGCATTGAAACACTGTAGGATTTTTGCAGATATTCTCTATTATTTATTTACAAATATATTTGAATATGTATTTCACATATATGTTTTAATACATAATTTCCCATAGCACAGTCCCATTCAGCAACTCAGGATTCACTGGATGAATTCATGACTGAAATCAAGTCAGAATGTTCCGTAGACAGTGTGACACGTAAAAAGCTTCACTTGAGAACCTTTGAACTGAGGAAGGAACAGCAGCGATTGAAAGGACTAATTAAGATTGTTACCCCTACATCCATGCCGGAGCTGAAGTCCCAGTGAGTCTGATTACAGGGCACTAATCAGTATGACTTTTCCTTTTATTTTAAATATGTAATATACTGTACTTTAACCATTAAATGCACTTGTAATGGAATACAGGTAATATTTGAACTTGAAATAATCTGGCTTCAATTTAAATTATAGTTTGCATTAATTATGGGTGGTACAGATACCATTGTAATGTTTAATCCTGAGCAATTGCAAGAGACACAGGAGTTCATGCTTGAGGTAAGAAATGCACTGTTGTGTGAACTGGACTTGATTGGTTGCATTGGGCTCCCATCAGTCATATAAACCTGTACTGCTTGAAGCCAGTCCAAGTAGAGATGTAGGACTCTGTTTGTAGGTTATCCGTATGAATAAACTTAATCCTTCAATATCTGATGTTAATTTTTTGATATATTTCATTTTTAAAATTTATTTATTTTCTATAGGCTTGAGAATCAAGATCTGGAATCTCAAAATAAGCCCAAAAAGCTAACTTTACCTCTATTTGGTGCCATGAAAGGGGGAAGCAAATTCAGACTAAAAACAGGGACCGTAGGGGTAAGTAAGAAGAAGAAAAAGCTGTGGGTTTTAATTTTTCCAAGTACACAATACTGTGATAGTATTGGGGAAAGCTGCCACGGGGTTTCAGAGTTTGCATCTCACGTGTTTAGTTTAGGAACTATATATTTTCTGAAATAAACCATACATCATTAACTCCTTATTCCTAGAAATATGTATAAGGCCAGCTTTTAATGGCACCTTTTCCAATTTTCCTTATTTCTCAATGTCAGTTGAAAAACAATCTTTACTGTAATTTCTGTTTACAATATAGAAACTGCCCATGAAACGTCCAGATATACCGGTAAACCTATTAAAGATGAAAGATGAGGGGCCAGAAGAAGAGGAGGAAGAAGAGGAGGAGGAGGAGGAAGATGTGAACTACAGTTTAAATGAAAGCTCACAGAACACAAAGATGGAAACTGCAACACAAGAAATAGTTAAAGAAGGGAATCTCCTTTCCACTTCTTATTCACCCAGAAACCAAAGTATGGAATTCCTTAATGATGATTATTTATACTGGTTTTTTTTAAATATTCATTCAACTTGCACATATTTTAATTAGTTTAAACTTAAGCAAGTGAATATGAAGATTTAGTCATTTTTATTAGCCTCTGTGCGTGCATGTGAAATAGTCCAGAATCGATGCTCTTAGAGGCATCCACGGGAGATCAAAAAAGTTAAGATGGCTAGAACCTTGTCATGGAAGCCCCACCTAATTTTTACATGTGTTGCTGGAAAAGGCTTCATTTTCTAGGAGCAGCTAATTAGAAATTTTGAAGGCAGACCAAACCCCCCCTTGGTAATATCAAATATACACATTTGCATTTTATTGACATGTGTTTATCTTACTCTTAAATTGAAACCTGCAGCTTTCCTGACATCTAGTGGTATAAAATATCTGGTAGTAGTCCTTAAAACACACCACTACTTCTAGTTTCCTTAATACAGTAAATGTTCAATTTAATGGACTAATGGGGTAAAAAGGATGTCCAGACAAATGGGAGGGAGGGGTTGAGCACCAAAACACATGAGGTCCCTCTGCTTCACTCTTCTGTGGTAACAGTCGAAGGTAGATATAAAGATAAAGTTGGTGACACCCATTGCACAGGTGGCACCACTGAAACCATTGCTGAGAGTGACTACCTTGTGAAATGATTGCAGCCATGCAATGCTTAGACCCATTGGGGTGATAGGGGTACATTTCATTGGGGTGATATCTTCCATATGTATTAGCCAGCATTACTATTATCTAAGTCTCTTTCCAGCAAAATTCATTATTTCTCAAACTTCAGAGGGTGTTTGGCTCAATCAGATCCAAGAGAGGGACTCAGAATCCTTATTGAGTGGAACTCCCCGGATCAAGTGGACGAACCTTGACCAGTACAATACAGTGGCTATATGAAACATGCACAACTCTCATATTATCCAGAATGTTTTTTTTTTAATTTTAAATTCTGTAGCATCAACCCAATGTGGTTACAAAATAGCAAGATTATAAATTTAATACAAAAACATTACCTAATTGTGGTATAGAGAAAAAACTTAAAACTAAATCAGTCAATAGTAAAAATAGAACTATATTTGTAATACTTTAAGAAATAATGAAAATGCCTGCAAAAATAGAAGTCTAACCTATCACCAAAAAGATTGTAGTACTGACCCTAGGCAAGCTTTCTGTCAGAGGGCAGTTAAAAAGAAATCATTCTTTCTCTTGAGGATGTTTACTGATTAATTTTCTTGTACAGAACTGAGTTGGTATCAGTTGCAAAGTATCTTTTTCAGAACTAATACAGCTCTGCCCAGACAGTCCAGAATGCAATATCTGTAATAGCTTGAGTTATACATTAGCTTTTTTGTGCACTTTGTTTAGGAGTGCCTGGGCAGATGGGGGTGGGGAATCAGAAGAAGCAACATGGTGGTCCATTCATCACAATCAAAACGTGCAGTATTAACTGTATATTGTGCATACATACACAATAAGGCAGCCTTAATTCTTATTTGACATCCCCATTTTTTTAAAAAAAAATCCATACGTTTTATATTTTATCTTTATACGACCTAATTTCATTTTCACATTTTAAGGTTCCCTGTTTTTATTGATTGGAGATCACTGAAAACCTCTTATCATTTGCTTTATTTTGCACTATCGTTGTGTATAGTGGAAAAGCTGCTTTAATTAGATAAAACTCTATTTCTATTCCTAATTAACTAAATTTTGGGGTTCCTATTATATTTTTATAGGATTTAAATCTCAGACTGAATCTTCAAGCAAGGATACAAGCCCATTAGATCATAATTGCCCAGTGAATAAGTTGCAGATAAAACTAGAAGGTAAGCAGTTTTATGCAGCTCTTTGTCTCTTGAACAATCTACAGAATATGAGCACTAGGACAAAATGATAATTTCATTGATATTGAAACAAATTATATTTCACAACTGGTGAGAAAAAAAGTTATTGACTCTTAAGAAGATCACTATTTTAAACAATATTTTGCATTCAATGACTACAAAATTTAGAATAAAGGGGATAGCTTCCAGTCACTAGGCCTGAGCTGAACTTTCAGCAAGATGCTTCTCCAGATTTCTGATTTCAATCTCAGCCACTTAAAGTTGCTTTTCCAGTCACCTGAGAGGCTGTCAGAAAACTTCAGGAGACTCAAACCAGCCATGCTGATCCTTGCTGAAACTTTTTTAACCACCTTGCAGATCCAGTGAGATGTTGGACTTTCAGTGCTCTATAAAAACTCAGCTCTTGTAAAAGCATTAATTTAGAAACTCAAGCCTTTTCAGAATAATGAAGAGAAAAAACAATAGTAAATGGTACTTTAGTGTTGGACTATTTCCAGCAGGCAGTGGAATACCTTTTTTTTAAATAAAAGTTTATTAGTGAAACCTAACAGAAGAATAATGTATCAGTGATAGTATAATTTAAAAATTACATGTATAATAGCAATTGAAACAAAATAAATTTAAGGAGGAATAAACTAAGGAAAATATATTTCAGATAAAATATTAGAAATTGTAATATTTCACCTAAGATATATTATTACAAAGGCAATGTGACAGTCCTACTGATACAAACATTTCTGGGATATATGCATTCTTTGTCTTGTCAGATAAGACTCAGTGCTTTATTTTAACAACTCCCTGCTCTGTGTTGTTTTTAGAGAAAGATTTATTTACTTTGAAAATAAAGAATTAAGATCTGTATTATAAACTTCATTTTTCCAATTGTTTATTTTACTAGCATCTGAGATGCCAGCAACAAAGCCAAAAAATCAAAAAGATAGCAGTAAACCTAAGGTGAGTTGGAAGAACAAAACGTTTTGTTTGTTTGTTTCGTAGATTTATATAGCAGTCCATCTTGAATAAGTTACTTTGGACAATTTACACCATTAAAATAATAAAAACATTTAAAAATATAAAACCATAGCAGTTGAAAATCACAAAAAATAACAGCAATCAATATAACCAAGAAACTATCAGCAGTTTGAATGGTATCTTGAAGCACCCTGGTAGCCAGTGCAAATCACGGAGCAGTAGCGTTAGAGGTACCAAAAAATAAACACCACCAACTGACCCGCTACCCATTCTACATCAACTCCAGCTACCAAAAGCTCTCAAATGGAGGCTCTTGTAGAGCACATTGCAGTAGTCCAGTCTAGAAATCACCATGTTTGATTTCCTTGAACAAGATCTGTGAATCCAAGTGAGTCCCAGATTGCACACCAGTTTGGTCTGAGGCACTGCAATCCAATCCAGATAAATCATCTTTATAGTTACCAATAACAGATGCTTAATACTCTATGTTTGGGGGGGATGGGAAGGGGAGAAGTTCCCTTATGAATTAAAAGAAGAATTGCTTAATAAGGAAATTTGAGCACAATTGTCTCCCTATCTCAGCTTGATCCTGTAGTGTACTGCGCTTGGAGGGACAACTTTTATACTTATCAAAAGGAGATACTTCTTGATATTTTGGGAATAGTAGCTTTGCTCACAAACATTACAACAGCTTATATAAAAGGATTATAATTCAAATACTTGGTTTCCATTGAACCAGCAGTGATTAAAATATCTCACCTAATCATCCTTCATAGTGCAGTAGAGCTAATGATAGAGAAATTATGTGCAGCTGTTTTACCATCTGCTGTCAATCTTGCTTTGTAAATCTGTTGTAGTGCTTAACTGTATGTAATCCAGTACTGCATGAGTCAGGAGATACTGCATTTTTTTCTCCTTCACAAAGCAAAAATAGACTTTAAAAAAAAAAACCCTATTCTCTAGCACGGCATCTTTTATAACAATGCAATGTTTTTGAGGGTATGTCTGCAAATTATCCTATTTAAAATAAGAGAATTTTTTTATTCTTTTCCTGAAATCTTTCAGTAGAAACAATTAAACAATTGTTAGCATTTTCCTCAATTTAAGCCCAACTAAGAAAAACCTATATGTTATTTAGTTCTTCCTTCATTTGGTACAAAAATCCCTCTCATAAATCCCTCTCAGAGTACAGTCTGACAAAACAGTACTTTGCCCTCAAATCATAATTGGAAATGAATTCTAGGCATATAATGACTGGCCAAGTACATGACTTTGATACTCCAGTGTACATTTTTGCTTCAGGCTCACTCATTCTCAACCTTATCAACTTTAAAATATGTAGACTTCAACTCTCACAGCTGGCTGGGGAATTCTGGGAGTTGAAGTCCAACCTCTTAAAATTTTTGAGGTTGAGAAACACTACTCTAGATCGCAGAGAATATACAAGTTGTGTTCCATCTATTATTCTCCCCTACCCCATCCAGCTGCCAGCAATATTCCACTGTCTCTCTCTTGTTTTGTCACTGCCAAATATTCAAGACTTGAGTACATCTCTATATACAGGACAGAGTGGTTTGAGATGGTTTTGTTTTTGTTTACTCTATTTTAAACCTTGGGATCAACTGCTTTGCAAAGAGATGAGAATCATTATAAGTTGGTATGTTAACCTGTAAGAAGAATTTAAATTATGCAGAACTAATAATTATATTATCAAAAATTAACATTTGACAGATTTGTTCTATTGATTCGTTTAATGAGCACTAAATTTAAATTTTGCCTTCCAGTCATTTTTTAAAATGTATTTATGTGATTCTGCCCTTTTTTGCAGCATAATCTCTGGTTTGCCATTCAAGGGCTATTGTGCCCACAATGCAATGAAGGTTTTACATACTGGCATATATTTACAAACAGTAAATTGCTTTCTGTCCTACAGATTCAGCATTCATTATCCTCAAACTACCCAGAAGATGATCCAGATTACTGTGTATGGGTACCACCTGAAGGTAAAGGGGCACTCAGAATAATTGTGGAGCATGAGTTGCTGACAAAATATAGTTTATATATGAACAAATAAAACTTAGCGACAAGTGTTCTGGTCCCATTTTAATCACAAAGTGAGCTGGCTAACCTTGGGCCAGTCACTCTCTATCAATCCTAGGAAGGAGGCAATGCAAACCAATTCTGAAATATTGCCAAGAAAACTGCAGGGACTTATCCAGGCAATTGCCAGTAGCAAGACAGACTCAAAGACACACACATAACATACAAAAAAAAATCCTAACTTATTTGAAGTACAGAATAAACAAAATATAATCAGAATGTTCTGAGGGGGGTTATGCTATAGATTTCTGTTTGGTCTTCAAAATGGAGTTATGTAAATACTAATCAAGTATAGACAAAATCAGTGTTCTGTCTCTGAATATAATAGGCACAAGTGGATTTTGGTAGGGAATTGAAGCTGCTTCCCTCTATGTAAAGCCTGGCTCTGCTTTTGCAGGAATGATGCCATTCAGCCCCTAAAGCATCTTTGACAGTATTAATTATTTTCTGCTCAAGGTGTTTTGGTCCTAGCTGTATTGAAAGGTAGAGTTTAAATAATGGCAACAGCCTTGACTATCTTTGTAGCAGAAATTTAAAAAACCATTGAGATAAAATCACTGAAACAACAGTAATGCAAATTATTTTAAAAAGCACTATAGCAAAAAAAAATCTCAAATTTTAAAATACTGTTTTCTTTTCTCTGTTGAGCAGGTCAAAGTGGTGATGGCAGAACCCATCTAAATGCTAAGTATGGCTACTAAATTATTCTGAAAAGTAAAGAAGTATGGCACAGTAAATGATAACTGGCACAATATGCCATTGAAATTACAAGCAACACATTTCTGTTCATTTTCTTAAGCACTGTTTAATGATTCCTGATCCTTTCTTAAGGATGTTTTTCCCTTAGAAGTGAATGTGTGTATAATGTGTATATAGTGGTGATAATTAAGAATTTACAGGTAACATAGATATAGCAATGTTGGTTTTATAAAAACTTTTTTAAAATGGTTGTTTTTATTTCTTTAACATTATTTCTTGATCTAAAGGGGTAAAGGAATAAGTAAATTATTTCTTGATGTAAAAGGAATTAGTTATAAATTTCTATTTAGTCAATATGTATGCTGAGGGCTACTTCAAATTCTCTGATGCTTGGATTGATTATCAAAATATTTTCTGCCTGTGCATGTACAAGTATGTAATTCCACAAAATACAATTGCCAATGGCCCTCTCTGATTGGAGCTGCTGAAATCAAGGCTAATTTTTATCCTTCCTTTCTGTCGCAGTCTTTTTTGTAAAGGTTCTTTGTTGATATTTTTCTTTTTCCCCTGTACAAGAAGGTGAAATACTAACACATTCATATCTTGGCCAGTTGTAGTTTAGTATTAATGCAGGTGGAAAAATGTATTAATCTTTAGCAGTTCCTGAAAGAATGTTAAATATCTAACATTGGATAGTTGGGAGAGTAAAAGCTAAGGAATGGAAGTACTATGAATTAGTGTATCTGAAACTTTTTGGATAAGCCAGAAAACAAGGTTTCTGCTCAAAAGGCAATTATCCTTGGTCTAGACCTGCTTTTACATCATAATTTCTGCATTTAGGTTGCATCAGGTTCCATATGAGAAAAGGATAGAAATTGCATTTAAAAGGAAAAAACAAGCTAGAGGCATACAATAGTCTTATCTACTACAGTATGTAAACATATTACTTGTGACAATGAAACCAGTTCATAACAGGAGAAGAGAGGGGGAAGCACTGGAAAATGTTTACTAGTTTCACTTTTCTTTTAATGGTAAAATAAAACCTGCCATTTTGCAGCGTTATATTAATGGATTTACTGGCAAGTAGGAATGTGAGGATTGCACGATTCATAGAATGAAAGGAGAATTCATAAGTATGGTCCTGAAGTTTTAGACCAATTCCATAACTTATGGGTGAATGAAAGGCTGTGTGATTGGGCCTGAGACAGACTTTATGAAATATGGTAAACCTCCATATTCTGGGCCCATTATCTAATGCATAAGAATCCACTTCCATTTTGTTCCATCTATAACATTCACATACTAATAACCATTTCTCTTTTAGCAAAAAGATTTAAGCGATATTTATTTTACATTTATGCAAAACCCTAGCTTTTGGAAATATATGGCCCAGAGGGAAGTTTATTTTTAAAATCTCCAATGTGGCTCCTTTAAAGATTAGAGTCCCAATAATTTTAATCTTTAAAGAAAAATGAAAATGGGCATGCGACAAAGTAAAGTACAGATAAAATAGCATTAGAGTTATTTGCAAAATGCCTCATTCCTCTGAAATTCCTAGAAAAACATGGCGGCTGGTGGCAGCCCGTGCTTTGGGGAGCTCTGCCCATTTCCCTACAAAGTTAAGCTTGGGATATAGGAAATATCCTGGGGGAAATAAAATAAGCGGCAACTTCAAAAGTCTGTCTTCATCTGAAAGGCAAAATAAAAGTTTGCCTTCTACCAAGTGGGAGTTTTAGGACTGGTTTTGTCCAATAAAGCAGCAGTTTGAAAATAATTAAACCTCATGAAATCTGGCATTGATGAGGGCTCCTGAAATTTCAAATGTTCAAAATCCTTGGTTTATCCTATATTTGTTTAAAAATAAGCCACCATCTTCGGCAACAGCTTCTCATTCATCTATTCATTCATCTATTCATCTAAGTCATCTGTTCTGTGTTCAGTAATTTGTATGAGCAAGAATTACTAATTCCAGAACAGAATTAGTATATTATAAAATTATAGGGTGTTTTTTTAGCCATTGCTATAATTTAAAGTTCTCTTCCAACAGTTATTCCATTTCTGTCACACATTTGTGACTACTTGTGACTGCTCTCAAAGTTGATGTAAAAAACAACAACAGATTTTTACTGTCAGGCATACCATATCCAGGCTACAAAATATGGAAGACCATAGATGACAGCAAAATGACTTAGAGATACAGAAGTCCCTCTGCTGCCATCTAATGACCACCTAGATTTTTACAACCTAAATCATGCCCAAGATACCCTTCCAGTGTTCCTCCTATATATTAAATACAAATGATAGAAAATCCTTTTTTTTTTAATCCAAGAAAGCATTCTTCAGTATTTCATCACCTCCATTTTTTCTCATGCCAGAAGGCACAGAAAGATTTAAATTATTAAGGCCTGCACATGGGTGGGTACTCTAGATAATTCAGTCTGCTGTTCTTTGTTCCATACTACAGAAAGTTCTTGTCTATGTTCTCCTTTAGTCTTGTGTGACATAAGCTTCCCTCCACAAGACATAATTGTGGCCAGACCCTCTGTGTGACCACAAGAGTTAAATGAAAAAAAGAAATTCCTGATTGCTTGTAGCTTAGTTCTGCACAGATTTAAAGCAGCTTCATACATTAAGATGGAAATACAAGCCAGATTAATGGGGCAGGAAAAATATGGTACAGCACAGTGACTGAAAGTTAAAATAGTAATAGGGCCAAGCCTCAGATTAATCCAGACAGCAGTTCCATTGGATCAAAGCATACACAATCATCATCTCCTATAGACTTTACTTGAGAAAATGGTCTCTAAATAATATACGAATATGAAAAATGGTGAATTGGAGTAGTTTGTTATTTAAATTGTTGTGGAAAGGAGATCCTGGTCAATATTGAAAGATTTGAGACTTTAAAAAAATGGGAAAAACCGGCCAAGATAGCAGAGGGATTGGCAGTTAAGTCAAACTGTCTGCTTAGAAGTGCTTTAAGTTTCTAATGTGGATGGTAAATATATTTTATTAAAATATCAAAGTATAAAATAGGAAGGAAAATAGTGGAAAAATGGGGAGGGGAAGGTGTAGGATAAAGGGGGGAAAGAAGAAAGAAAATTATAGACTTCCAACTCTTTTTAGCTCAATAAAATAATATAATAACATAGCCTCAACTTAGTAGTTTTATGTAATATGTGTATTAGCATTTCTATAACAACAAACCTGTCTAATGAACAAAACCCATAGTCAATGTTTCATGTTTTACCATCTCAAGCACAAAATCCAAAAGCAGTTTCCATATAGAAATAAAGTTGGATGTGTTCTTTTCTTTGATTAAACAGTTAATTTAGCCATCTCTGCTAGTTCCATCAGTTTTTCCAGCCATTCATCCATTGTGGAAATTAAAGTATCTTTCCATTTTTGTGCATACTGGTAAATAATTATTAAGTTCAGATTTGTTAATGCTCTGCTATAAAATAAAAGGCTAGTCAGCTATTGGAGTTGTTTGGTTTTTTTAATTAGATTATCCTCCTTTTGCTGTTCTCTAAAGCTCAGAAGTGTGTGTGTGTGTGTGTGTGTGTAGCTGGTTTTTTCCCTCGCCCATTTGGGGGGGGGGGGGAGCTGTTATTTCAGAATCCTTTAAATAAGCCATGTGAGTTTTGCCCTCATAAATTTTCATCACTCTCTGTTAATAAAATAATCATCTATTTTTCTTAAAAGCAATTTGGCTTTACTGCTTTGACCTTTACCCAAGTCATGAAAGGTTTATTGTTGATTCCAAATAATCCACCCCAGAAAGAAACTTAATTTCTCAAATGCTGTTGTAAAGCTGAGTTTGAAAATGACAAGTGGGCAACCAAATTGCAGGAAGAAATTCAACAGACACAATGTAACATGTGTGCAATTAAACAGTGAAGGGGTAGAATTTCATTGTATACAGAACAAATCCTTTTATCAGCTGGCATCTGATCATTTACAAGTTTTGTGGTTACATATTTATACACAGTGAACTTATTTCTGCCCTTTCTGATAAATCTTGGCTGTTTAAAATAGAAAACAGATGCTGGCAAACAATCCTGGTTTTTGTAAACCTATGTTTTGGTGAAAATCTTGATAGGATACTTTTGTACTTTCCCTCTGTGTAGAAATTGCTTGCATGTGTTTCCATTTTGTAGAAAGTTGGACTTGAAACCATGCCTATCTTTTTGTGAAATGCTAAGATGTCATTTAGGTCAATTTTAAAAAGTGCTTAACTAATTTATATCACCATGCTTTTGAAGAAGAGTCTGCTTTCCCATGTTTTTTTTTTTAAATATCACAGAAGAACTCTACAAAAGGGAAACCATAAGCAGATTATTAAAGCAGCAATTTATAAATTCAGTTGCAAGCTATGGGATTTAACCTTACTCAAAAGCAGCCATTCGTATTATTCTATAAGCATTCCAGCTTATACAAGTCTTTATTCACCAGCAGAAATAACTTTTCCCATGCAAAGTTGGTGGCATCTTCTTATTGGTCATCGTGTTGGGACACCAGTGTGCAGCTTTTTCTCTGATGTAGGGAGAAGACGGTGTTGAGCTTGAGATCTTGCCCCACATTCTCTGAACAAAATGGTTTACATCTGTGGTGACAGTAGAGTTTACATCACTTGTCCCTGCAACTGCTGCAGCTGGACTGTTCTGTCAGGGTGTCCAATTGTAGACTGAGCCATTAAGCAATGAGAGTGATAGGGACAGCTAAACATGGCAGAAGTTTTCTCATTTTCACTGCACTGCAAAGCACACAGCAGCTGTCATTTCCATACCAAAACATCAAGCTCCTGCCACCTCCAAATCACCTGCTACATTTCCAAATGCTTCCACATTTTTTTTTTAAAAAAACTCTCAACATGGCATGCTGTGGTATCTTTCAAAGGTTCATATGCAGACAAGCATTTCTGAGGCAATGACTCACATAGCATATGAATACATCCATTTGGAACATGTTTACTCAAAATAGGATCCCTTGTTTTCACCAGAATTTTCATCCAAACTCCTTGAACAGAAGCCTTCTGCATTCTCTGGACTGCCAAGAACAACTCCATCATGGCAAATTCACTCTGAAATAGGGGGGAAAAAGAATTTAGAGGGGCTTCTTAAATGAGAGGCTGTCATTAAACACATCTTCATCCATGGTTAACTGAACTAATCTTAATTAATCTGTATAATAGTGAGCCAGAAATTAACCAGATGTGATGCATTTGCAGAACTTGCTAGATTAAAATGTGATAATTTTTATGGTTCAGTTCCATATGAACACAGCCGAAAAGACATGGAGAACTAGCATTGCAGAAAGGGAGGAAAATTTCATGAGTTTTAATAAATGTGTTTAATTAGAATTAGAATCATAAAATGAAAAATGGAAATGGTATGGTTATTTGATAGAAAAGACTGTTAGTAAAGTTTTTCTCTAGCTGTGGATAAAAATTCCATTACAGTTGATTTCCAAACATTCAAGACCTTTTAACAGAACAAAATAAATAGAGCATAACAACATACTTTGTTGCAAAAAGTCGAAGTAAAGGAGTGCATTATTCATCATCATCATACAATGTACTCAGATCTTGCTATTTTGTGCTTGTACTCTCAAAGTTTAAGTTTAGGATAGGTATTTATTCTTATCAGTAAGGAGTAAAACTAAATTTAGTAATTGATTAAGAAGGAGGAGATAGTAAATGTGTTCTTTCCATGTTGTTTTTATTTAAACTTCTTGCCAAAATTATACACAGAGAATAAAAACTGAGACTTAAACAAGACCTTCAATATATAAACAAAGGTCAGACTGAGGTCAGCGGCTTCTTCAAAAATAGAAATAGCATCGATCACCCTTTCCCCATGAGCAAATCTATAACGATCAGTTAGCCACATAAAAAAATATCCAAAAATATTTTTCCCCTTGTGGGTTGTTTTTGTGCTGCAAGTAATAGACCAAATCCCAAGATGTACTGGAAAAAAAGCAAATAAACAGTGATGGGCAAAGGGAATCATTCAATCAAAGGTCAACAAGAGGAAAAAAATGGTAGGAATCTGAGGGAGGATGAGAAGAGATAAAGGCAAAGCAGCTATACCGCATCCCCTTTCAGAAGTGGAGGAGATGGGACCAGAGGATTTTGCTGGTGAAGAAACCATAACAGTGTGTAATGATCTCCAGCTGTTGAAATAAAAGCCCTATTCTGGGATTCATTAATAGAAGGAAAGGCCTCAGACAAATGTGGTGATCAATTAAAAGCTGGGGATAGGACACAGGCAAAGAAGATTATTTTAACATCTAGTCTTTGTAGAACACAGTTTTTTTGTAACAATAGGCTGGGCCCATCAGAACACCAC